AGTATTTTTTTCTCTTTTCTAAGTAACTAGCGTTGAAGCGAGAAGATATTAATAATGCCTTCTCTATTCAGTACTAGTTGTAAGTTTATGAAGTATTTTTTATATATTCAAAATATTGTTTATTTATAATGATTAAATCTTTATTAAGTTTTTATCTATTTTTATATTAATAATGAATTTAACGATTTTCTTATTATCAGTGCGCTTTGAGTACATAATTTTTTATTTTATATACCTGCGTCCAAAAATATGCGGTGCCACCTCCAAAACAGAGTAACGCACCGATGAGATGAACTACTATCACTGAAGTTTCTTGAAAGTTTGCGACGATTGATAGACCGGCGGATGATATAAGGCCGAAAACTAAGGCCCAATAATTCCATTTCGGCAAAGAAGTCGATGAAGCAAAAGTTTTGATGCACTCCTTAACTTGGGAATATCTTACGTAGATCATAAAACACACTGTAATACAAAATGATATTGCAATTAACTTCAGTGACGTATGGCACTCATATATTCTAATCGTTTATCAATGATTATATCTTTATCGTAAATTTTTGACGTGATTTCTTAATCTTATCGCTTGTTATATTGAACTTTTTTCTTTTCGATATATTAAGAAAAATATCAATTGTTTTAGATGGCGATGTAAGTTGATATTCCAAATATTCTTTTAATATTAAATATTTACGTGATATGCGATGCAATGTATATGTAGATGTAGCGATGTATAATATTACTTTTATGAAGAACGTTGTGTTATATGATCTACTTACTCAGTATAGTGATCAGATTAACAGCTTGAGAAAAAATGCAACTTTCTGGTGCATAAGTTGCTGCGTCAGAAATATAAGGAAATCCAGCTTCTACATGTCCTAGTAAGACAGCGATTACGTACCTATAAATTGCAAAATAATTTTTTTAAACAATTTCATCTAATTAAGATGACAAAAGATAATTTTAATATATATAAGAATATTAATAGATATATAATATTAAAAATATCTCAGTTAATTAACGTTCTATAAAGTCCTTAACAATTTATAAATTATTTGAACTTACGTTAAAATAAAAACCGTAGGCAGAGATATAAAAACAGCTATCGGTAGATAGTGTAGGTTTGCAAAAAACTCTTCTGTCTCCATGATTTCGATGTATGGTCGTTGTTACTATTAGAGTAAGATGAATAATGATGATGACGTCAGTCGCCGACGTCTGCAATCGACGCCGCTATCGGAAAGAATCTCGCGTCGATGCAGCCGCCGACGAGTCACGGTCATTCATACTCTTCGATGGCTATTCATAGGCCTTTCAATCCTCTTCTCGTTAAGTATCAATCTTCGCAATGTCTGAACCAACAGTAATATCGCAACTTAATTGCCATCAACGTTCTCTGAATAATTCTGTAAGAGAAATAATTATTGTTATCGTCATATGTATATGAAAAGAATATTTTATATAACATTATAATATTTATCAATGTGATCAATTATATCAATTTTATCAATGTGATTGATCGAATTTTTGTGTGATAATAATTATTTCCATTAATTATTATAAACAATATTTTTTTTACAATTTTAGTAATACACACATCAAAAAAAGACGT